TAATTATACTTCTTGTATGTTTTTTCATGTTTAAGTTGTATCGTTACACCTAACAGAATGTTTGTTGTTACCTGCTGTGATTTTGAATAATTCATGATATTAGTATGCAATGTGGGACCATCATAACCCTGGAGCAAACCAAAGTTTGATTCACTGTTTTTGTGTCTTTGAAGGCGAATGGAAGGCAGGTTCTGGCTTCTATGGTCCTCTATCAGAAAATCAATTTAAAATCAGCCAATCAAGTTAAAGTAGACATAATAAGGATATGGTATCACAGTATCTTTGAAATGTTTTTATGAAATCACTTACTAAGATAGAAATAACCTGAGTAAATCGGCCCTGGACCTCTGTAAACAGCAGTGTCTTGTTCTTTCCATTAATTGTTTCCACAGATGTAGTCAATGACAATATTGTGTTTATTCTATGGCAGTGTTACTGCAGCTCTCAATTTCATTTGATTTCATTTCCTTTTCTTAATGGATGGATTTACCAAATCTAAAAATAATTATTTTTTTTTTTTTAAATCATGACAGGGATTTTCTTACATTGGTTTTGTGAGTTGCCCTGGAAACAAGAAAACACTGAAGTTAGGTCAGAAAAATGGTGTCATGCCAACCACTGTTGTTTCTGTTTCTTTGGTTCCAGCTTAATACTAGATAAATTATATGGCTGAGGAGGCCAGCTGATAGCTGATGCTGGCAAGTAGCTTCTGAACAAAGATAGGTGTGGCATGTTTGTTTTGATTAGAAGAAAGTCAATGGAAATATTCCACAATGAAAAGTCTTCCTCAGCCTGCCATGTGCACTGGAGTTGCTTCTCTCTGCCACTGTCTGTGCTTCGTTGCACTGACTCCATCTTTATACGGGCTATATCAGCCAAGATCTTTCAGAGTGCGAGGATGAAATCTTCTTTCTGGCAATCTTCACAGGTTTGAGATATTTTCTGATTTTTCCAAATGATGAAAATGCTGGTACTCTGAACGTGAAGCAGACCTGTTTAATGTTAAAACAAAGGTCATTCCTAAAGGTTAACTGCCTTATAAATAGCCAGATTGTTCCCTCCACTCACTACAAGTTTGCAATCTGCTTAATATATGCACAGTCAGGGAGAAGCTGTAAATATAATGCTAAAAGCAGACGCTTGGAACTATTGCTCTTGCTTCTCTTCAGCTTATGCAACTGTTTGCAGTAGCTTGCTGCCAACACAACTGTTGTGTCCTCGTACTTTGGGCTTCATCTTATAAGTCTTCTGAATATGCTGTTCGCGTTCCAACACTCTTGAACAGATCTGTGTGAGGAGGTTTTGCAAGACCAAGTCGTTAACTGAAAGCCACAAATATATCACCACTTGCTTAAGTCATTAGTCTAGAACTGAGCTAGCTCATGAACTTATGCCAGCTGGAGTCCTCACTAAAAACCAAAACCCTAGTAACCAAACATTTTGACCATCAGAAGCTTGGACTTCAAATCTTATCCAGACAGATCATTTCACCTGCTTCTCCCCTTGCAAATGATTTGAAGTTTCTTTTCCAGAGGTTTTCCTATGAGTCTTGTTGATCTTTCAACTGTAGCTTTATGTCACAGAATCACAGAATATGCTGAGTTGGAAGGGACCCACAAAGATCACAGAGTCCAGTTTCTGGCCCTGCACAGGACAATCCCCAAGAGTCACAGCATGTGCCCAAGAGTATCATCCAAACGCTTCTTGAACTCTGTCAAGCTTGGTGCTGTGACCACTTCCCTGGGGATCCTGTTCCAGTGCCCAACCACCCTCTGGCTGAAGAACCTCTTCCTAATATCCAACCTAAATCTCCCCTGACACAGCTTCAGGCCATTCCCTTGAGTCCTATAACTGGTCACCAGAAAGAAAAGATCAGTGCCTGCCCCTCCTCTTCCCCTCACAAGGAAGTTGTAACTGCAATGAGGTCTCCCTTCCATCTCCTCTTCTCCAGGCTGAACAGACCAAGTGCCCTCAGCCGCTCCTCACACAGCTTTCCCTCAAGGCTCCTCACCATCTTCGTTGCTTCCTTTGGACACTGTCTAACAGCTTAATATCTTTCTTATATTGCAGTGCCCAGAACTGCACACAATATTCAAGGTGAGGCCGCACCAATGCAGAGTACCTGCGCACTGATAGCTGTTCTCTTCTTGTCCACCTGTTCTATCTGTATCCATAGCCATTTTCTGCAGACAGACACAGAAGATCTCTGACAGTAGATAGCATTCTTGCTCCATATGCATGTAAGTCGATTGAAGGTGATGAGGTGATCCAGGAAATTGCTGCCCTCAAAAATTCCTGGGACTGGGCTGGAGGCATAGGGCAATCTCTCATACCTCTCTATCACTGTTGATCTCCAAGAAATCCTGATAAAATTATTGTCTAATGCTTTAGCAAAGTGTATGAGGGAAGAATGCATTTTATGTAAATTTAGTCAGGAAGTCTTTGAAACTAATTGCTTAAAGTGAGTGGGGAAAGCTGATGGAGTGTGATAGACATACAGAGGGTTTTTTTCCTGCTTTCAGAATAGATAGTCTTGATTAACTGGGCTTAGTATAGCACTGCATATATTAACTGAGCATCAAATTGCTCAGGGGATGAGCCTGCTCTGTGCATGAACTTTACAGGCCATGCTCTGAATGTTATTACAGATGTGAGTTTAGGAAGTTTTGGAGTTACTCTTCTGTGGATAAAACCACTGGTTTTCATGAACTTGGTATTGAGTTATCGTCCTGGCCTAGTGTCAGTAATTTTTTTAGTAGTAAAAATGGAATTAAATGCACAAAAAAATATGTAAAGCCATACCTACAGTCTACCTACAGTACAGCCTACCTACTTTTCTTCTGAAAAGTCTCAGACTTGGGAGTAATGCTAGGGAAATCCTCTTTTGCATATGCTACTCAGCATTGGTACCCTGAGAGGTGTCAAAGGCTTGTCTGTCAATCAGTCTGCTACTTCACCTGCCAGGTCCTGTTTAGTCCTTCTGTTTTCTGCTTGTTGGACACGCTGACTTGCCTGCTAGAAGAGCCTCTGACCTTTCTTTGCTGCTGTTCTAGACATGGTCTACCATTCTGCAGGTGTGAGCTGCACACCTTGTTCCTGGTACATCACCTTGCATTTAACCATATTTGCATATTTATAGAAAGTCAGTGATTTCATTTCCACACTAGGTAGAGGCTAGAGTTACAAGTTAGAGCTATGTGCTTGATCTAGAACTGGGATTTGCATAGATGTCTACATGTATTTGACACCTGAATAAAACACATCATTGCGCCTGCTGTAGTAGGTCAAATCTGGTGTTCTTAAGTATGTATAAGTGCATGCCATGGACCTGTGCATACTTCATTTCAGTGTGAGAGCTGGGCACCTGCTGTCGATTTGTGTACCATTCCCTTCAAAATACCTTGACCTAGTTTTAATAGAGAAAAGATTTTTACAAAATCCAAGACTGGGTAGCCTTCTCCGTGCTGTGCCCTGTGGACACATATGATCCCTGCCTACGGCCATGAGCATTTCACTGTGGTGACTGGTGGATGTGTGACAAAATGGACAAGGTCTAAGGAAAAGGCAGAGCAAGAAGCAGCTGCAAGAAAATGTGCTGGAGGGAACAACTCAGTTAACAACTGAGATTAAAACATTTTTGTAAAATACAACTAACATGAATTACCTCAAAATATTTTCTTTCCAAAAAAAAAAAAAAAGAAGAAAAAACCCCCCCTAACTTGAATGAATGGGCACTAGTGAATTAATAAAAAGCCTAATGAAAAGGATCTATTGTGTCTGACCGTAAGGACCAGGCGGAGAACAATTACAGGTCTTTGGAAAAGTGAAGACTGAGATTTCAGTGGGTCTCCTTTAACAGGAAAAAAAAGATGGATGTGAGCCTTTGATGAGCAGTGCACAAGGTTATATAGGAGTCACAGCATATTCTGTGTTATTTGGGACAGAAAGCCAGATGCATCACTGTTACATAAGCCTGCTGACCTGCATATGGAGCTTTGTGGTAGCAGCAGTTTCAGAAAAATAAATCCTGTTCAATTTAGCTTACATGAAGATACAAAATCCCACAAAACACATTCTTCCCTAGAGGGCTTGGTTTTGAAATTTAAATTGGGAGAGCATGAATACCTGGGAAAAAGAGGATGGGTAAAAAGACAATGTGATGCAAGCTCAGTCTGCTGACTAATGGTACAACCTATATATTAGGGAATGGGACCACACCAGCCATAACAGCTCATTATTCAATTCATGCAGCATGAAAAAAGATCATACCAATTTGCAGAGTATTTTGATAGGTTTGTTTAACTTTATATTATTCTGATTTGAAATGAAAATGAATATTTTTTAAATCATGAAATGAAAATAGAATATTTTCAGTTGGAAGGGGCCTACAGTGATCATCTAGTCCAAAGTTAATGACATCTAGAACTAGAGATATCAGAAGCTCTGGGGTTCCCAGCTTGAGGAATCCTGTCAGGATCCTCTGGCTGCTTTGGGTGCCAAGGAGTTGCACATTTCCAGAGCTTCCAGACTCTTGCTTCTTTTCTTTCTGCCTGGTGGGCTAACAGAGAGTTGGCAGCCTTGGAGTTTATGAGCAGGGATACTCTGCTCTGAGTTTCTTGGCATCCTGCCTAATGAGATCTGTAGAGGAGCCAGCAGCTTAGGAGCTCTGCAATCTCTGAGACAATCCTGGAGCAGTAACTTCTTTTTAACTCCCACTCTCTGTCAGCCTGTCAGGAGTACAGCTGAAGAACAGGGAAGAGGACCTGGCAGGAAATCAGGCGTGATTTCTGCAGTGTCATCAAAGTCAAATGTGCCATTAAAAATGTTTCTGCCCACTTTCAGTAACCCCGCAGAGAAACCGTAACAGGTCAGCACCTGATCCTGGAGGTCCTGCATCTCTTTGCTTTAGATATCATGGGTGCAAAGCTCAATGAGGCACAGGAGAGGACACAGAAATATTTACACCATTCCAGTATCTTTGTAGTTGGGATGTGGGTCACCTGCAGCTCTTCACATAGCGCTAGTCTGCCTGGAGTCAGGTGGCCTACAAATCCCCGTTGTCCTAAAGGTATTGGAGGACACGGTTATTCCAGGATGGCTCTTGACTGACATAGTGGCTAATATGATAGTACTGGAAAAGCAGATGAAATACATGTTGGTTCCCTGTGCTTTTTCCCATGCTTGCTGTATGATTGACCCTGAGGTCTGCATCCGAGTAGAGATATTGGTCCGAACAGGGTGGACAGGAGAGTTATCCGGGCACATGCGTGTCCCAAGCATGTACTAAAATTCAATACAGATATTACCAATCTAAGTTATAGCAGCCTAAAGGTTGCTGTAATTTGTATTTATAATCTACATCTACAGAGTGATGTTTTAGCAGCTGTGGATCCCTAGAAAGTGAACATCCTCTTGCTTTCCCTATCCAGAGAGTTGGAGGATGATAATACAATGGGCCTTGCGGCTCACTGTCATGACTGTGGCCCCTGAAGGGTGAACTAGACTAATGATGCAATGCAAAACTGCCCAAATGACAGAGAGAATCTGGGCCACTGCGTTCATCTTGTCTGATTTCCAAATTTTTCAGTGCTCAGGGGGACAGGATTATAACAAAGTTTGACTTCCTGCTATGTAGGTCATATGCTTTATGCTGAATCCTCCATCACAGGGGTAAAGCTGGAGCAGGGAAACTTGCTTTGCTTCTGTAAATGTCAATGGGAATAACAAATTTTTTCTTTTGTTAAATAATTTTCAGGTAGTTTGATTTGTGGTAAAACCATTTAGGTTTTAACTGTTGGTGGCTCATTAAAATATGTTGCAGTAACAATGTGTTGCAGTTTTTAAGCTCTACAGGCTTTCAGTTGCTGTGGCTGAGCAAGATTCACTGTTGGTCTGGAGGATTTACAGGTGACAAGCTGTCTACCTGGCTCCACCGTGGGGTGTTCAGAGGTACCATCACCCTGGTGCTCCTGCGACCACAGCTGTCCATGCGCTGTCTCTGCATACAGGGCTGTGCAGGCTGATACACAAATCTGCAGTGGGTTGATCTGGGAACAGAAAGCCTATGATTTGCTCATAGACTTGTAAAGATACTGCTTTGATTACTACTTTAAAAAAAATAAAACCTGACCTACTCTAGCAGTTATTCTGGCATTTAACAGAACTTTGTAAAGATCAGGCAAGGAAAACAAAGCAAAACAGAAATGCTCAAATATTTGTGTCCTCCTGCCTTCCTAAACTTTTGCTATGAGATGCAGAGCATCTAGAAATCCTCTTTGTCGGATGCTGCTTTATCTGCATTGGATGTGCATGCATCATTTTTTCCTGCAAGGTTGGAGAGGTAGTGAGATAAAAAATGCTTTGCTGAAATGTGAATTCACTTGCCCAGTTTTCTGAGGCTGACAGCAGCAAGGCAAACCTGCTGATCAGTTACTTGTATGACTGTGCATTTTAGGGGAAGATTTTTCTTTGTTACTGCTGCAGCTCTGTTGTAGCAATTAAAAAAAGATGTGTCTAAGGAGGAGGCAATAACTCTGAAAGTGTCTTTGATGACTAAACATTAAACTCTAAATATGCAGCGTTGCTGCTGATTTTTCCAGTCTCCTGTGAGTCATAAAATTTTGTCTCAGATCGAGTGAGCCATCCTTAAGGACCTTGATTTAAAAAAAAAAAAAATGCCTGTGACTCTCCCCCAGTCAAATAATTTAAATGAATGGTTTTCTGTAGGACATTTGTAATGCTTTTCAGATCATTAAAATCCCTGAAGGACAGTGGGCAGGTCTTCATTTGTAGGCATCACTGCTGTCCCCAGGACAAAGCCCCTCTGGCCCAAAGGTTGCTGTGCCCTAGATGAGTACAACGCTCAGTCTTCTGGACTGCTGTTATCCATGCAAATGTGAATAGGACTGCCTGGGAAGGCCATCTAGTAAAGAGACAGCATGCTCCAGAAACTGAAGGGCTCAAACGGCCTCTACTTCCAGGGGCCTTGTTTTGTCCTGCTCACAAGTTGTGCTCTTCAATCCCAGCAGGTCTTTTGGATTTTCGTGGTTGTACTTACCGCCTTGGCATGAAGCATGTTTTTACAAGATTCATGGCTGTTACTGATTGCAAATGTGTCTGTTCCAGTGGTGCTCTACAATTGCTCTGTGAAAAAGATATTACACAGTACCAGTAGAATCTAATAATGAAGATTTCTATGTTAAGGGTGCTTCTCTGAGGAACTATAAGGGAAAGGACTTGGAAATAACAAAGTCGAGTGTGCTTCTATTGCTTGGGAGTTTTTTTTTGGGGAGGAGGGGAGCTGCGGGACTCTTGTGGTTCAACCTGTCTGTTGCATATTCAGCACTGGAAGAAACACTGCATGTCCCAATTGTAAATGGATGCACTATGGTGCTAAAGCACTAAGTGAATGACACTAGATATGAAGTAACCAAAGGCCTTTTTGTTGTGGGTCGTTTTTACCATCTCTTACTGTTGGTAATTTTTTGATAATGGCAATTTCTTTAACTCACCTCAGCGAAACATGCACATGATGGGGATTGTCTCCATTTTTGACTTGACCAGATAACCCTTTTGGAATTTTCTTTTTCATTGAGTTGCATTGCATTATTGTTTTGAGATGTTTCTCAAAATCAATGTGCCTGGTATATAGAAGGTATCGCTCTGCCATTGTATTTGGACATGTCATGCTGTTACTGTCTCTACACTATGACGATAACTCATTTGCATTAGCCTTTAAATCCATTATGATTGTCTTAATGGAAGCAATGTAAATAACACTAAGTTCATGTGCATAATTTACTACAAAAAAAAAAAAAGCCTGTATTTAATAAGTGCTGTTAGATTTTCAAGGCTAATAAAAGCTCTGGGGTATATAAAAGAGGAAGTGCCATTACATGAAGATCGAATCGGCAAAGTAAATGGAGTCTTCTGGAAGATCCTTTGAATACAAGGGTGTTTTAATTGTTTCTTATTTTAAATTGGAATAGGGCCACTCTTTAATTAGGACTAGCACTGGGTGAACTCTATCGTAAAAAAAAAAAAAAAAGTCCAGCTGGTTTTTCCTTTTTGTGTGTGTGTGTGTTCCAACAATCTGTGATCAGTCTTCAAGGTTTCCTAGTTTGTCGTTTTAAATTCTTGAACTGCCTCGTATTAGCATCTAAGCCTCTTGGCAAGCTGGCTAGCTTTGGCTGCTTGTTCAAGATTTTGGGTTAGGAATTGATCTCATAAGTGTGTATGTTACTGCTGCCTGTCTGCAAAGTTGTGGGATATTTGATGAGCAGGAGGTTAGACATCGGGATTCTTCTGTAAGCATTTGCATCTCAGAGCTGCAAAGGATTGCAAGGATATTGTTCTAGAAGACATTTTTGAAAGCAGATATATTGCATATAGATTGATAGGCCATTACCAGAAAAAATTAACTTCCAGAATGATATTCAGCATGGCAGTGAGTTCAACTGTCCATGCACATTTATAAGAGTCCCATTTCAACTCCTCTTCACTGTGGTTACCCAATCCTAATTAAGACTCCTAAGTTGTTCTTTTCTATGCAGTGTGAAAAAGAGTGTCTCTGTGAGTGTCTGCCATTTTTCTGAAGAGCTTTGTAACATTAAATAGCAGCACTGCTTGTATGTTGTACATTGACTGTATTCTACTGTTACTGAAAATAATGTATTTTGTACAGAGTTTGAGTAAGACAAGCCTCATTTCTCATTCGTGAATGAATTTTTCCGGAGTTACACCATTATTTACACCATTAGTTTCATAAGAAAGAAACTGGCACAAAGCCAGTTGAAATGATGCTGAAACAGATCTATAAATGTAACACAGTTTAGTATTGAATACCTGTATGAAGGACAAAAATGTAAAAATACATACTTTCATTTTCTAACATTCTAAGAGAATATAATTTATTTGTGGCTTTCAGTGCTTGTGGTTGGTTAGTTGGTTGTTGTTTTTTTTTTCCCTTGGATGCAATTCTTTTCCTCTGAGTTATAGGCAAGCTCTGTTGGCCTTTGGTTACAAATGGGATCGATAGGTCTTTATTCAGAGTTTAATGAGATTCACACCTCTTGAGCTGTAATGTGAATCCATCAAATAGAAATGAATTTTAGAAGCGGCAATTTGTGAATGAGAAGACTACATTGAATACTATTTGATTTTCTTTTTTTTCCCTAAACACAGGAATCAAATGTTTTTGCAAAGATCAGTATGGTCTCAGTTATATAGCATTTCTTTACCAAACAGCAGAGGGATCCCATGTGTATTGTGGCACAATTCAGCTTTGCAACATTTCCTTTCTTGTAATCACTTGCTTTTTTGCCAGTTTTTCTATTCCCAGGTAATAAAAAGTTTTCTAAATTAAGATGTTTATATTTTAAAATAAGGCACTTTAAAGCACACATTAAACAATTTATGGTAGATAATTTTCTATTAAAGTGTGTGTGTGCCACAGACACATTGAATTTTTGTAATTAATAAGAATGATAAAATGACTGGATGCTCATGATTATATAGGTTAGACCAAGTAAAATACCTGTAATTTCATTGTAAAATATGAAAGAACAGCACAAGCCCTCATACCTGGCATTTTCACTCATTTGTGCTACTGTAGCTCTAGAATAGTGATAGAAACCAGTGGTGCTTCAGTGGTACTAAAAAAATTATAATCTGTTACCCTTGATAAGGGCAGAGACACAGCAGAGTACTTCCTTTGTATTTTACAGCAACAACTGGTGTTCTATAGTATCTTCTTCAAATATTTGTTCACAATAGCAAAAATATGTATTTCTTTGCTGGATATAAAGAAATTTTATTAATCCCTGAAATTTTTAATTTCTGTATTTTAAATACCTCTAGTGATAGAAACCAATGGAACCATGGTGTTTCTAGCCCTGCACATTAGAGCTGAGATGCTGAGCAGCCACTGTGTACTGGTGACTTCAGATCTTTAATGCTGTGCTACATACTGAGGAAATGTTTCCAGTAGGCATCAACTGATATTATTCTGCTGTCAGACTGGGTCAGTTGGTAGCGCATGATGGTTCACCACCTAAACTCATCCCAGATTTCAGACATTATTTAAATATGTTTTTACAGCGGTATCACCATATTTTATATCTTCTTTCAAATGGTCCTGTGTGTGCGTTCATTCCAGTTTGACTCAATGACTTGAGAAGTCTTTTCCAATCTAAATGATTCTAAAAATGAGCATAGGCACTCTCTGAAGATGCCATAGAAGTTCTGGGAATGTGTGTACCATCCTGCAGCTCTTAGTTTTTGTCCTTCCAGTCCCGGTATTGTTTGTCTTAAAGTCTCATATTGGCTCATTCCTTTCCAACTTTGGTGTACGCTCTGAAAATTTTTGAAAAGCTTTTACTGCTGTTCTTAAGGGAAGGAAGATGGCTTCCATCCACCCTATGCTTTGCAAGGGGAGAAGACCATGGATCCTAGCAGTAGGCACAGACTCCTGCTCTCCAGGGAATTAACTGGAGTCGAGGACTCAAACAGGACAGCTGTCTTTAGGAGGAGGTGTGTGGTCAGCACTAGTTCTGTTCCACCAGAACGAGCTGAGGTGGATGAGCTTATGCAGAGCAGTCAGTACTATTTTTAACTTTGTATTCCTTGTATCATCTATCTCTGAACAAGCTGAGCTTCGTTAAAAGTGGTAGTTTAGATACTTGAGGGAGTAGAGCTCTTGCCCTGTGAGGAGAGGCCAAGGCATCTGTGCTGGTTCACCCTGGAGAAGAGTCAGCTTTGGGGGGACCTTGCAGCAGCCTTTCTGAATCTGTGAGGAGGCAACTGAGAATCATAGAATAACAGAGAAGATGGAGCCAGGCTCCTCACAGTGGGGCACGGTGAGAGGGTGAGACACAGTGGGCATAAGATGAAACAAGAGAAGTTCAGATTGGATATAGGAAAAGTATTTACCTCATGAGAACAGCCGAGCAGTGGGAGGCTGCTCAGTGAGGCTGTGCATTCTCCAAGAAGGTTCTCAAGATTTGGCTAAGTAAATTCTGAGCAAACTGGTCTAACATTGAAACTGACTCTGCTCTGAGTAGGTTGATCTGAGATTCTTCCTCTGATCTTACAGTTTCCTGATACTTAGCACAGGATGAACAAGTACAGAGGTGAAGGACTGGGAGCAGCTAGAAAAGATAAATGCTGGTGGCTCAGAGGGGTGGTAAAAGATGGGAGAACATCAAATGAGTGCATGAATATGGATCACTGATCTTTGTTATGCTGGAAATGATTTGGTCCTGGCTTAGAGAGCAGTGCATAGTCATCACTTTTATGTACAAGGTTTCCTTTAAGGTTCCAATGTCACAGACAAGTCAGTTTTATTTAATGACCTTCTACATTAGCAGTTCTTTGTACTGGTGACTGAAATTGATTTTGCTTGTGATGTGAAGGAGCACAAGGCCAGCCTCTGCATCACTGCTCAACCATGTGCTTTAGCCCTTCCAAAGAAAAGGACAACAACTTTCTGAGCATCAGAAATACCCATGTTGAAATTTTTAGGTCCATTATTGATAAAGACTCAGCTGGTTTTGAATCACTGAGTTGCATGGTTGGAAACTGCAGCTTTGTGTTTAAGTCCTGGAAATATTTTATTGATATTTTTCTTTTGTAAAGTGACATCACGAAGACCTTTCTTATTTTCTTCAAGCATTTCACAACACAGTCTTCCTCTCTGACCAGAGTAATTACAAAACAATTCATTAGTGGTTTAGGTTTATGTTACCACACTGCTTAGATAGATAAGTGTTATGAAGAAAAATAATAAGAAAAGGCTGGAGGATAAATATGTCAGGGAAATAAGACTGCAAGGAGCACAAGGTTTCATAAAGACTTCAGGTGGAGAATAAAAGGAGGGATGAATAATATCTCACAGGAAGGAGCAAGGACAGACAAAGAAGATGAAAAAAATGTGAAAGTGAAGAGTCTGATGAAACAAGAAAGGAAACATAATTGGCAGCTAACATTTCAAGAAAAAAATAATGAAAATTGAAGGAAATATTATGCAAATTTTGACTTTTACATTTGTAAATGTTTCTTAGTCTAGCAGTGCATGTTTGGCACATATCCTTTATCCTAAATTTTGGAAAATTAGAGAACTTAGTTTAAATTTAAATTGGTGATTAATAAAAGACGTGATCACTAAAGTGCACAAAAACCCATAAAATCATCGAATTAATGCAATTTGAATCAGATTTCCATTATTCTGGCCACACTAGTTTTTGCACCTGATACTTTAGGGACATTCTGGCATTTGAACAAGTCAGTAAACAGACAACTGACAACAATGTTTTAGTAATGACAGTTAATTACTACCACCAGTTGGTTATTATAATAATAATTACAATATAATTTTTCTAAATTCTGTATGTTATTACCATTTCCCACACTCCTCATGTACTAAGAGGTATGTTTCTCCAGTAGACATCAAGTTTCAGCCAGAGTTAAGTATGCATGCAGTGCATCACTGGTGATATTTAACAGTAATAATGACAGCCTGACATAATATTTTGCAGGCCTTGAAACCTAATATCTGAGGAAGGATTCAAATGATATATATTTCTCTGAAAAAAGTAATAGAAATAGGACTTACTTGGAAGGTTGGATTTATTATGGCTTTCATTCCTGAATTGATTTCTATCCAAGAGACTACTTTTGTAGATCCCTGCCAAGGAAGTTATGGAATAGTGTTGGGAAGATGGTAGGAAGTGTTTATTTCCATATTGACAAATGGACGTTTGTCTTGTGTACAAGAAGGAGTAGCAAAAGGGAAAAGTAGGGAATGCACTTTTCATCTTAGTAAATGATGGGAGAATGTCTCAATGGGTTTTGAACAGTTCAGTTTCTAAAATGTGCTGCCAACATGCTATGTCTGTATGGAAGCACTTAGGCACAGTGCTTCCCAAATGCTTCATTTTGACCTTGAATGAATAACAAACAAATCCTTAAATTGTGAAAATCCAGATACTTATCTTATGCTTTTGTCTTTTTTTCCCTTAACTTTTTTTCTTTTTCCCTCCTTCCTCTTGTCCAGGAAAGAATGTATCAGTCACACAGAAGAAGCAGTAGAGCTCCCAAGGACTGATGAAATGTGCTTTGCCCTGGTGGTGACTGCAGCTGCTACGTTATGTGAAAAAATGAGAAGTTGCCCTAAATTACCATCTGCGACGTTTCAGCCACCTCCTGTAGTGGAAGCTGGTCATGTGGGCCAACCCAATGTGTGGTTTGAGACTGAGTGTTGTTTTGCTTTCTTGGGATCTCAGCATTTACATTTTAAAGCAATTACCAAGTTAAGCACAATCTCTGTGTTCATGGTCTGCCTTCATGGGCATGTAGTATCTTCAGCCTCGTATGGCTTTGAGAATTTCTGAAAGAGCCTTTGATCTGGGTTGGGATGTTTAGTATTTCTGAGGACACATACTTGAGGGTACAAACTGTTTAGCAAATGAGACAGAGTGGCATTTTTACAAGGGCAAGTAGGAATTGGGAATGTACTTCACGTACACTGAGAGGCACTTGGGACATCAAAGTGCTGTGTCCTAATACTCTGAGTATTTCAACCGTGTGAATAGGCCACACCGAATTTAACTTTCAGAAAAGGCATTTGCAGGTATACATGCTTTTCCTGAAATAGGTGTGTTTGTGCACACTGGCTGGTAATAGCACACATGGTGCAAACACATTTTGCAATCATGCTGCACACTACAGATTACTCACCCATAACCCCTTACTATTCATCTCCGAGTATCATTTTTGAAGGCAGGGAGATGAGGATACAGGCACAAGACTTGTGGATCAGGGGTTGTATGTGTACATCCATCCATTCTGTAACTAAAGGCACGCAGCACTGTTAAGTCAGCGGCAATACTCGTGCTGACCTGAGCGGCAGCAGCCATGGGTACTGCTCTCAAACTGCCTCTTATGTTGTGATGCACTTTCAGTTTTGATAACTGTTTTATGACTTGTATCTTCATTTTTAATTTTTTTTAATGTTGAGCTAACTGCTAGGATGTGCTGTCTTTGCAATGCTTAGTTGCCCAGCAATTACAGATATATTTCAAAAGGAAGCAGGAGAATAATAAACCGTGGAATCCCAAATCAGATTAATGTAATGTGCATTTCTAGATTACGATTAGTAACAAGATAACACGGTGTCATGGTAACACTTGAAGCTTAACTATAAGTTCCTAAAATAAAGCAATGACATATGTGTAGGTTTCTATCCATTTGCATACTATCCACCTGAAAACATACATCATTTTTACAACACTCAAGCAATTAAACCCTACTTTTTCCTTCTGGATTAAGTGCTGAACTAAAATATCATGCCTCTTTCCTAGTATTTATGCATAATCTCCCACCATAAATTATAAATGTTGGTGAAGAAGCTGTCCATTTTGTAACATCTTAGGCTTTCTGCCTTTTGGTTTCATTTTAGAACAATTAGAATAAGGAATGTAGAACACACTTTATTCTTTGCGGTTTGTACCACATTCATGTCCTTGAAATTCTACCACCTCCTAGTATGAAAACTGTCTCACTGATATTGGAAAATTCTGTTTATTAATTAAATTGATAGACTAGTGGGTGCAATTCATGTGGCTGAGGGTTGGGAATTAAAATCCCAACTTTACCTCAAATCACTGTAAGAGAGGAGTAAACTTTCAATGTGAGATTGCTAGCTAAGATGGAGAGCCTAGCTATTATTTTCTAGTTGCCTTACAGTGAAAAGTGTTGTCTACTTGTTATAGAGTCTGACTTTCTTTCACTAAGCAGAAGTTAATTTGTTTAATATGCTATCTATGGTAAAGGTGCCAGGATATGCTTTACATGTATTGTCATTTTGTGTTAAACTTTCACAGAATGCAAAATTGGGCACTTTGTTCTGATTGCTTTATATGCACAATACTGCTTTGACCAAATTCTTTAGTCAAAATTAAGATGCTGCAAAGTTCTTTTTAAGTAAATATGATCTTCTTCTGTCACCTTAAATAGACAAAATGGGCAGTGTTACACGGAAAATATTATTTCTTTGGCAGTTCACTTATTTATGTATACTGTACTGTATAGACCATTGGAGGATATTGAAAATATAGCTTAAAGGTTGCTCCTTACACAACCTTTAAATCCCAAATTCTGTTCACACCTCCGTGGATGGCAAATGCTGAAAGTAAAATGATTGCCTCCAGCATGATAATCATGTTACATTCAGAATAATACAGTTGCTGGGAAATATTTCATATACACAGCAGAGTTCCTAGGATAAACCTCCTGCTAAGGCATGGCTGATGTTTGTCCTTGTGGCCTTTTGAATAGTGGAAAGTCTGATTTGTGTTTAATAAATCTGCCTGTATTTCTCACATGCAGATGAAGGTTTTTATTATTTGAATTTACTGTTGTTGTGGGGTGGAGGGAGGGACATGTGCATGCTGGGTTTGCCACTAATCCTTTGGAAATCCTTTAGTGCCTTAAGGAGGCAGAGGGGAAACAGACCTTAGGATTACAGAAACTTGTTCAAACCTCTTTCCTGCTTTAGCAGAATTGCTTCAAAATATATTGTGCCTTTGGCTCCAAATATATTTGCATTAGAAATCAGTAGCCATAGGATTATGGACAGGACTTTTTGCCCCTGTACAAATGTTAGGAAAGAGAGCATACTGTTTCTTATAAAGGATGTGAATTAAAAATGTAGCTAACTTAAATTCTACTGTTGAGATCCATGAATACTAGGAAAGTTGCAAGTTGCAGTTAAAGCCAGAAAAAAAAAAAGAAAAAAAAAAGGAGAAAGTTTAAATATACTAGATGAAATGCTTGTACCACTGAAGTGACTGGCAAATTTCCACTTGCTCCCCTGGGACCAATATTTCATGCTTCCTTCTACTTGTCTTAATAAATTCTCACAAGTGATAGATACATGGGCATCATGTTCTCTTTAACATTGTTTATGCACATAAGGGAAGAAAAGAGAGATTAGTAGTTGTGGAGACCTGCCTTGATTTGGAGTTGTTTGGATCTATGGTATAAATCTCTGTTCACTGTTGTTTCTCTGTGTAACATAGACTATTTGCTATGGGCATATGAATATTCAAATGTAAATTCCAGTATGAGAGGTTACTGTGCAGTGTGCACTGACCAGTGCCAAACAACTACATTTCTCTACTCTCTGAACCTTGGTCTTTTTGAAAAAGAGGGAAAATGTAGCTAACAGACGAAAACCACTCCTGTGCCAAAAAAGCTTGCATGAGGCAATTCATGTACTCTCTGATGGTCCTAAGCAGCTCTTAGGAAAAATTGAATAAGCTTTTAGCTCATGAGTGAATTTTATCTTCTAGGAACTAAGAGCAATTTGCTAAAAAAAAAAAAAGAAGAACTAAAAAAAATTAAGGCCTGAAAATCAGGCTGGTGGTGGTCTTCTGTTTTGCTCCCTGTGATGACAAGCAAGTATTAAACAATATGTAAATAGTTTAAAGAAAATCATTACATGGTTCGCAGTATGTGAGACAAGGCCCAGCACGGAACAGATTTTTACAGCTTATTTATAAATTACACTTCTGCCTTTTGTTTGGAACTTGGAAAAGGAAACAGTGTAAATCAAGAACTGAAGACTTACTGCACATATTTGTTGACTGAAACAAAAATATTTCCCCACCTCCTGAGGTATTAAGGAGTAATTTGGGATGAATAATGTATGGAGTTCTTGGCTTTTGAGCTCTAGTGCTGTACAACTATTTAACTCTGCAAAGCCAACAGAAGGATGGTAACCAGAAGTCATGAAGATCAGTTTTTAGGGCCACAAATTCATATAATGAGGTACCAAAGAAAGCACAAAAAGGCTGGGGTTTATGGTGTCATACTTATTAAGCAGGTGTACCACCTAGACTGGGGAGGGAGGGATATTTGTAAATAAATGCAAAAAGATTTAAACTCTGACCCATGACCACTCTGTAACTGGGTGTCAAATTAATTTCAGCTAAGTGAGAAGCTTCAATAGTATGAGAGAGGCCACTCATATTTTAACTGTTCCATTAAAACCTTCTGGGTAACTTTTCAGCAAAGTTTTCCACTCTAAGACATTTGTTATTAATATCAACTGTACATATGTATTCATTTTCATTGTAAGTAGGGACAATACAGAATTGTAATGAAGTCACAAAGTCTACTTGATGATTATCACAGATTTGTAACTCACTTAAATATGTAAGATATGTTGACATTTTATCTTGTTAACAAGATGTATTTTTCTATGTTAGTCAAATGTACAATTTGTACAATTTTGTATATTAAATGTATGCATATTTTAAATTAAAAACTTCATAATTTTATTATTTTATTATTTTAAAATGGTGACAAGAACTTCTGAGAGACAGCTGTAAATATAACTGTATCTATGGATAGCAACCCATGAATTCTCAGTTTTGAGAAAGGGGTCAGCTGGTCTTCTAATAGAGTGAGAAAACTGCAACACCTGGGGTCTTGCTCCACTTGGTGGATGAGCTGCCATTCAACTTCAGCTGATTAAATGGAATGAACATGAATTAGCAGAATACTATAAACTGGATCACTGCTCAGAAAGTGGGTAACCAGAGCCTTCCCCAGCTTGTAGTGTTTTGTGTCCACAGTTCCTACATGCCAGGAGACAGTCCAAATCACCAATCCATGGGACAGGGTTTTGTGGGGGAGGGCAACACTGCTGGCAGAGATACACCAGTCACGCAGAGGAGAGAGGGAGACTGACTCAGTGACTTGGCTGCTCAAGTCACTCTTCTGGGAGAAAGAAAACTTTTGTCTCTGTCACACTCACTCCCTTTGAACTGTTCATGGCTTTTTTGTCTGCTGATTGTTGCAAAATGCAGAATAGCAAAAACAGATGCAAAATGTACATTGCATATTCTCTGAGCCCCCGCACCGGGCAAGTCCTGTTCTGGCTCGTGATGTTCACACTGTTGCAAGAAGAGCTCCAGATACAACTAAAGCCAAGCCAGTATGTGAGATCTTTTGTTGTGTGAAGCAAGCATATCTCTAGCTTTTTTGCTCTCTCTCATCTAGGCTATTTGGAATAAAGGTCCTTTAGGAAGAGGGTGCACTTTCAATTAGGTTCAGTTCTCTTTTCATCAAGCAAGGTCAAGACAGGATGGGATGCACTGTCTGCAAGAGAATATACCAAAGCAACGTATTCCTCCAAAGTTGCATACTTTTTTTAGGCAAACTCACAGGGTGACAGGGTATCAGGTTGTAACTGGGTCTGCTTCCATAGTACCTAAAACTGCAATTTTACTTAAGGACAGTATGTATCCGCTGCCATAGAACACTTAGTTTTTAATAAACTAAGGGCTAAAGTATGAAAAAAAAAAACCAGACAAAAATGCCAAACAAAACAAAACAACACAACTGTTTAAAAGTAAAGAAAGACACTGGTACGATTTTATGCTTCCTTGTAACTAGAAAGTTTAATGCTGTTTTCTTAAGATTTGACGTGCTCTCTGAGTCTTGTGGTCTCTTTATGTATCAGCATTAAGATGAATGTCCTAACTTAATACTGCAAAAATAGCTTTATTCTTTTTTATTCAGAAAAACTTGAGCAGCTTTAGAAACCTGAACAATGTTATCTAAATAGACCCCAAGTGTAAACAGAGTCCATCTTTCTTAGCTTTATGGATGTTAAATAACAGGTGCTCTTTATTTAGCAGACACACATACAATGTGCAACATATGGGACCTACTATAGGACTATCAGAAGTTTTTATTCTGGAGGTTGAAAGTAATCTCTTGATTGCAAAGAAGTAACTCATAAAATAAATAATTTTTCCAATATTTGGAAGACAGGCAGGTCACACATCACACTCCATGTGCCACCTGCATATTTCATTAACTGTCAGGGTTTGGTGTACTGTGGAGGAACAAATTGACTTTCTTTTTTTTCCAAAATGATCAATAAATCTCAATGTTACCATCAGGAACAAAAAAAAAAAAATCAATATTTGCCCACATACAGAGAAGACTTTAAGGAAGTAACAATGTAATATCCTACAAGCTATACTTATTTTTGCACACACCAGTGAAACCTCCATATGATATTAATGTGTTAATGTGGAAGTATGGTTTATTAAGTGAGCTGTGGAATCTTAGGCAATATATTCTCAGAAATGTCAGTCATGATTAAAATCAGTGTGTTAATAACCAATAATAAGTGAAATTTTTACTGATTTCCTAACTCCCCTCCTGTGAACAACACCCACAGTGTTAAATGCACACACAGAGCATTCAAGACAGCATGCACCTCTGCATTATAACAAATGCAGAAAAGAAAGATGCTTTCCTTTGATGCATTTTTTCAGTGCTCAACTATCTCACATTACTGCTTTTTCACATGGTCTGGGTCCATGGGTACTTGTTAATGAGAAAGATGGTTATGTGGACTCATTTCTGATGAAATCCCAGGGACCTCTGTCTTTAACCTCCCACTTTTCCTGATTTGTAGCTTGCAATTTTTATTGTGCAAGGACCACCAGGTACACAGACAACAGTCCTGTGTGGCTGGGCTTGTATTCAAACAGCATAAGCATGTTGTACATGAGCAGTAAATAGGTGTTGTGATTGATCCACTAAGCTTCAAATTTGCTTTGTCGCGTAAATAATCTCAGAACAGTTTCTTCCAATATATTATTTCAGAGCAACAGAAAATGTCCCTTATGTAACTCCTGGGGTAGTCTAAGGCTGTGACAATTGCCTGAGATTGGCTGCATGTGCAGGAGAGGAGTGTCCAAGGACTTGTGATTTCGGTCGATGATCTCCTTGGGCACTGTTAGACAGGTAGGTGTGTAAATACGGACTTTCTGAAGTGGGCTGTGCAGAGACCTGAGGGTTACACACTCTCCACCCCTCCTGCTTTAAAAAAATACCCTCCTAGTTTTTGGGAACTTGCATCCCTCACAGCGAAACGAAAGCCCGCCCCCGGCCTGCCTCCCTTTGCAGAGGCCAAAGCCAGGCAGGAGCCGGCGAGGGCTGCCGGCCCGGGGAGCCGCCCGGGGTGCTGAAGGGACAGCTCCGGGGGCGCGCCAGGCTCCCGCCGAGCCGAGGGGGGGTCGCGGAGCCACGGCCGCCTCACCGCCCTCCGCGGGGCTCGGCGGACACCTCCTGCCTCACATGACGCCCCCTGCCCCACAGGACACCCGCTGCCCCTCGGGGCTCGGCGGGGCGGCGCGCCGGCTGCTCTAAGTCCGAGGGCCGCACACTCAGGCCCGCGGAGCCGCCACCCCCCGGCGCCCCCTGCCCGATGGCGGGGCCGGCGGCTCAGGCAGCGCTCGGCGCGATCACTTCCGTGTCAGGGCAGGCACCCACCGCCCTGCCCGCTGCCTGCACCCTGCACCCTCCACCCTCTACCCTGCTGCCCGCACCCTGCTGCCCGCACCCAGCTCCCTCCGCCCTGCTGCCCGCTGCCTGCGCGCCCAACCCACGCCGCCGCAGCGGGGGAGCGGCAGCCGGGGGCGGCGGGGCGGAGCAGAGCCGCCACCACCCCTGCGGGCAGCAGCTGCTGCGGCAGGGACAGCGCCAGCCCTACTGCCCGGGGGCCTGGGGCTGGTGGTGCTTCCTCCCCGACCCCGGCCACCCCTCTCTCCTCTCCCCGCCGCTCCCCCTTCGGCCGCCGACCGAAGCAGGCCCGCCCCCCGGCCGCACCGGGGGCTGCCGCGGCCGCGCCCCCCCGCCCCGCCCGGGCAGCGCCGCAGCCTCTCCCGCGGAGGGGGGCGGGGGCAGTGTCAGTGTGCAAAGTGGGAGAAACTCCCTCCGGCTCGCTCGGGGGGACTGGGGAAGATTTGTAGCTTTTGTAGCTTTTCTCTTTTTTTTGTCTTTTTTTTTTTTTTTTTTTTTTAAATTCTCTCGCCCGAAGCCACGCCATCAGCAGGTGACCGGCGCCCGCCCGCCCGCAGGACGGGACCCCATTGGCACCGGCTGTGTGTGCATACGGCGGGCGCCCTCCCTGCCTCCTCCCCCTGCCTCCCGCCCCCCGGATCATTCTATACCGGGGGAGCTGTGCACTGCGGTCCCTGCTCGGGGAATCGCTGCTGCTCTTCCCATTCGTCAGGGGCTTTCCAATCACCTGCCTCTGCCACCCTCTCCGCTCCGCTCTTTGTACTTTATTTTCACGTGCTCTTTACTAACACGGCTATTTTTAAATTCCGCTCGGATTTATTTCTCTCTCTTTCTTTCTCTCTAATTTTTCTTTTTCTTTTTTTTTTTTTTTTTTGTTCCGGGGGGGGGGAGGGGGGAGGGAGGTTAACGTTTGCATCTCCCTAAGGGAAAGATCCCACCAGCCAACCCAGCTTCGCCACTGCTGCATCCATCCATTCATTTTTATGGTCACTAACAGCCTATCCCGGTAGTGGAAGGTGCAGAGAAGTGGGAGGCAGGCACAGAGAGAGAGAGAGAGAGAGAGAGA